ATGAGTCAAAAGAAACCTTCCTCCTTTAAGTGACAGAAAACTGATTAACACAAGCGTTTGAGATTTCTGGGGATTTTGGATTTTGGAATGTGTATATATCCATAATGCGGTATCTTGGGAAGGGACCCAAGTCTAAACATGAAAGTTATTATAGTTCATACACACTTTATATACACAGTCTCAAGGTAATTTTATGCATTTTTTTGGTGGTACCAGAGTTTGAACTCAAAGCCTCATGCTTGCTAGGCAGGTGCTCTGTTATGCATTATTTTTAATGCATCTACATTTTGACTATGACCCATCACATGAGGTCAAGTGTGGAAATTTCCACTTGTGGTGTCACATTGGTACTCAAATTTCTTAGATTTTGGAGCATTTCAGATTTGGGGTTTTAGATACGGATGTTAAACATGTACTATTGTTTTCATTATACACATTTTTTAACGGGTGTGTAATTCAATTAGTTTTTTTTTTCCTTTGCAATTACTTTTATTGTTTGAAAGTTGAGAAAATTAACATTTCCCTAACAGATTTTTTTTGCATGAAAATTTGGTTTTTTTCTATGATCTGGATGTTTTCTACTTAACTCTGGATTTATTGTTATTTGGTGGATGATAGTAGATGTGAATCCAATTTTTTTTCCTAGTTAACATAGCCCAATCCACTGTTGCACAATCTTCTTCAGCCTTACTTGAGTAGCCTATTTTGTATAAGTTATCTGTAGTTTCTGCTCTCCCCATCTGTGCCACTGTCTTATACGTCTATTTTACCTTGACTATCACACTGTTTTGATTATCTTATACTCTTTATAGCTAGAGAGTATATGCTAGAGTTGTCATTGTGGTACTGGAGGTTGAATTCAGGGCCTTTCTGCTTACTAGGCAAATACTCTACCATTTGAGCCAGGCCAGTCCACTGATTCAAATTTAAATCACAGATAGAAGAATGAAACAAAATTTGCAGCAATGTCATATCTTGGAAGACATGGCATAAGTGAAAACATAAATAAGAATTTCCTTACCATTTGAGCAAATTAAAGAATCCCAGTCCTGTCTAGCATTTCCTAAGGATAAGTCACATATATCCTTATTCATTTCATTATTTTAAATAGCATTTTACTAAAAGAAGCAATAAATTCTTTGAAGTGATTTTTTAATTAAATTTGAAGGTCAAAGGAAGTACAAGAGCTCCATGTTCATGTCCTAGACTAGTTCATTTATTTCAACATTTGAAGAAAGCCCACTGTCTGCCTTAGCATGCATCTACGCAAACCCAGTGGGATATCGCTGTAATCACGACAAAAATGCTCTTTTCTCTATTGAAACTTAATGGGGAAAACAGTTATTTAATGAGAAATTCCAAGGGAAACGTAAGTTCAGTATGCTATGGGAAGATAGGAGCCCTAAGCAATCTGGGGAGGCTAGGAAATGCTTCTTCTAGGAAGTGTCACATAAACTGGGCCTAAGGGAGAAATTTTCTAGCCAAGGATAAGAGAAAGAAGTGAGATGTTTCTAAAGATGCTAGAAAATTGCTCATGGTCGCTTATAGATTCAGATTTGCCATATTACCCAATACTGGGTGAGGCCTTTTGTGCAGAGATTGGGGGCTCCAGATTTTCCACTCCTTAAAACGTTTACCAGGCTCTGGGGGACACCTCACTTGGGCTACAAATCTGGCCCTAATGCACTTGCTGAGAATGGTTTCCACAGGTCCTGTTCACAAATGGTGGCATTATCAACTGGAAAAGATCAGGGTGATGTGTGGGGCAGAATTAGGTTGGTTTCTAAAGCCTGTTTTCCTCAGTAGAGCTAGTTTTGTCTCTGTGGGCTGTCACTGTGAAATGGCATCACTCACGAGGTATAGGATATGAATGACCTGACCTCAAATCCCACACTTAGGTTGATGGGAAGGCAGTGGGTAGAGTGGTTGGTCTCTATGGCAAAAGAGGAGGTCTGCTGCTGCTGGCTCCAAGGGCCAATCGCAGGCCCAGATGTTCAAGCAGCCCCAACCAGATGCCAGTGCTCTCATCTGGCAAGTGCTGCAAGACAGGCCTGGTCCATGTCCGGTGGGTCCCTAAGTGAACAGTGCTGCAGCTTCCAAACTGCAGTCCTCCTAGAAGTCAGGTCTTTAACAAAGCTGCCGAAACCCCTGCCCCACACACCAAGAAATGCATGCATGGGGGAAGGAAAATAAATCCTTATTTGTGCCTGACTGAATAGCAGACTGTTGATATGTTACTTTAGCAGTTGTAAGGTCCTTCTTAAAAAGCATCTCATTTGATCCTCATGTAGGTATTGTCACATGAAGACATTGAAATTCAAAGACAGCCACTTGCCCAAGATGCAGAGCTAGTAAGGTGTTATCACACATCCATTTGTTCAGTCAGTCCATTGGATGCCAGGTACCAGTGAAACCTAGCATTCCTGCTCTCCCTAATGGGCTGGGATGACCAGACAGGGAGGAAGCAACCGCTGTCATAGAGTCTGGCTACAGAGAGCTGCACAGCCTGTGACAGACCAAGGACACTTACCTCAACCAGCAGGTCAGAAAGACTCTTAGACAAGGTGACACCATGAGTTAAGGCGTGAAAAATGGGTAGACAAATGACTTGCGCACTTGAGGTACGTGAGCATCACCTGCAGGGATTATTAGAAGGCTTCTAGGCCCTACCCCAACACCTTTAACTTAGTCTGGAGTAGGACCCAGTAATTTGCATTTCTGGCAATTTCTTTCTTTCTAGTACTGGGGTTTGAACTCAGGGCAGGCACTCTAGCATTCGAGCCACTCTGCCAGCCTCTTGACAATTTCCAGGGAGTACCAATGCTGCTGGTCCAAAATATTACAATAATTTATTGATTATAAATGTCACAATTTTTAGTAAAGGAAATTTAGAAAATATAGAGACATAGAAGAGAAATATTAATCATTCTAGCATTCAAATAAAATTTGATAAGTTTTATTTTACCTTTCCACCTAGCAAAGATCACACATTTCAAAGCACTGAATAGCCTTCCCCATAGGTGCAAGTTCAGGGGCCCTGTACCCAGACTGAACCAGTCAGTCACAGGGAGTTTCTAGAGAAAGGAGAGGAAGGGAGGAAGGACACAGCTGTTGCCAAAGCCATGGCTTGAACTAGGCTCTACCTCCACTCAGTAACAGTATGTCTGAGTATCCCTTATCCAAAATGCTTGATACCATAAGTGTTTCAGACTTCAAATTTTTTTATTTAATAATATTTGCATATATGTAATGTGATATCTTGGGAATTAGACCCCAGTCTAAACATGAACTCATTTGTTTCATATATACCTTATAATGCAGTCTGAAGATAATTTTATATAATATTCTTTAACAATTTTGTATATGCAACAAAGTTTTTCATGGTATAAAATTTTCCACTTGTGGCACCAGGTTATTCTTTAAATTAGATTTGGGCACATTTTGGATTTTGGATTTTCAGAATAGGGATATACTAGTACAGACACCATACATTGGCTAAGTACAGTATACAAGTTAGCTCACTCATAATAAATACCCTTTGGAATAGACCTGTGTGATCCTCATTTCAAAGATCAGGACACTAAGGCACAGAAAGGTTTGGGAATTTGTCCAAGGATACACAGCTATTGAGTGGTGCCAGGACGCAGACCTCTCTCTGCTTGCTTAGTTCTATCTGATGCCAGAATCCAAAACCCAATGATGTAGTTCCATGGGGTCCACCAGGTCTGGAGTCAGCACTTTCTGGGGCAGGTTAGGGCAGCCAGAAGCAGCTGGTCCCAACAGAAGGCCCCAGAGCTCCCAAACAGCTGAGGTGGACCAGCTGCCAGCTGGACTGAAAAGACCAGCTGGTCCCTAGCCAAGGACTCCCTACAATTAGCAGCCTGGTGGTGGAGAGTCATGCTGAGCTGCCTCCAAGCCTCGGCCCCTACTACCTGTGTCTCCAAGTTCATTCATCTCTGTACACTTTCATTGCCTTTCCACAAAACAAGATGATTCTACCCCACCAGGAGTGTCATAAGGGGAACATGAAATAACATGGGTCAGCTACCAAGGAGTAAGTGTGATTTTTTTCCTCCCCAGCCCCTTTGGTGGGCCACCACCATTTATCTCATGAACCCTGCCACTCCCAAGACTTCCTCTTAGCAACACAAGGAGATGGAGGTTGAAGAGCTGCCCTTGTAGCTGGGGCTTGTCAGTCTAAGGTGTCTGGCTCCATAGCTGGACCCCTGCCTCCTGACTAGAGAAAATAGTCAGGGAACCAGCTGCAAGTCAATGGGTACACCTTGATACCAGGCAGAGCATGCCACAGGTAGCCTTGAAGGGGCAGTAGAGGGAGCAGGCAGTGGGAGGACCACCACTCCCCACGGCACAGTGAAGATCTCAGGAGAATTTAGAATCAATGGAAAGAACATTGATCTTGAAGTAAAATTGACCTTCCTGAACCTCAGCCTTCTCCCCTATGATTTGAAATCAATAATCCTTATTCCAGGTCTGTTTTAATATTACATAAGAAAGTGTGAAGGCTTGGGACACTGCTCAGCAGTTTTTATGTGTAAACTTCATCTTACATCCAAAACAGCCAGGTGTACACACAGCACATAGTATTTGTTCATTGTTTTTTCAAAAATATTTACTGAGTGTTCTGTGCCAGGTACTGTTTCTAGGACCTGGGAATAAAGCCATGCATGAGGCCCACAAAAACTCTGCTTCCCAGAGCTTACACTCCATGAGAGACGATGCTCAGGTAACAACTAAACAAATGAATCACCAAGAAAATACAAAATAATAGGAAATGCTGAGGGCACTCTAAGAACTGATAGAGGGATAGCCTGGGTTTCTCTCCATGTTTGTCCACAAGCTCAGATGAAAGAATGTAAACCAGTCCAGGAATCTGTCTTCTCTCTGTCCCACTCATCCTCTGCTCATGGCTGGGCCAAATGTCCCCCAGGGTGAACATCCCCACATTCCCTAGTGTAATGGCCTCTGTATTTGGTTTCCAGGAGAGCAGCACCCTCAGCTGAGTTTTCAGTGGACAGGACACGCCACTTAATGTCCTTCCTGACCATGATGGGCCCCAGTCCTGACTGGAATGTGGGCTTATCTGCAGAGGATCTGTGCACCAAGGAGTGCGGCTGGGTCCAGAAGGTGGTACAAGACCTGATTCCCTGGGATGCCGGCACCGACAGCGGGGTGACTTATGAGGTACTTGTGCACCTGGGATGGTGATGGCAAACTTCCTTGAGCACTTCTTCCTGGCCCAGCCCTGTTCTGGGCGTCCTGGACACATGGCGTGTCACCTGGCTGTGTCCTAGAAGAACCTAGTCTGATAGGGGCAGCCAGCATAGTCTCCTCATCACACGCAGTATGATTTGGACTCTGGGAAGTGTCACGTAGTAGCCAGGAGAGCAGGGGGAGGAAATCTGCTAAAGACAGATTCACAGGTAAGCAAGGAAGGCAGCATCCCAAAGGCCTGGAGGCAGTCAGACCGATCAACAGGCAAGTGGAAGGAAGTTGATGTGTTTATATAAGGCTGTGCCACATTCCAAAGGCTAAGGAATTTATTCTGTCCTGAATGTCATCTTTCTCAGATATAGCCAGTGTACCAACTGCATCAAAATTTGGAGCCATCAGAAAACCAGTGGGGGCTGGTAGAGTGGTTCAAGTGATAGAGAGCCTGCCTAGCAAGCAAAAGACCCTGAGTTCAAACCCCAGTACTACCACCAAAAGAAAACCAGTGGGAAAACAATATAGAGCACTATGGTTTTCAAGTGCAGATCTAACCTTGTACCCTGACTTATAAATAGGTTTTGAAGCCAGCAACACTCGTCCAATTACATATTGTCTGGAGCTGCTTTCCCACTACACAGGCTAAGCTGAGCTTAGTTGTGACCGTCGCAGTGTGTAACTCATAAAGCCTGAAGTACTTACCATCTGACCTGCTACAGAGAAAGTTTGCTGCCTGGTCCAGTGGGAACAACCTTAGATTCAGGCCATGCTGACTCAGCCATTTCTGAGCTGGAGTGACCTTTCTGAAACTTGGCTTCTACATTTTGGCAAAATCATACCATGTATGTGGAAGAATTATAAAGCATAGATCTACAGGTTTCCAAGCACAGAAATATGGCATGAATCAAATTCCAAAAATATAGTTATACTTGTTCAATTGCTATCAGACCAAGGCCCTGAGTTTGATCTCCAGCACTTCCCCACCTAAAAAAATCCTGTCAAAGTTTTTGTTTTTATCTATATTAACAAATTACTTTGTGGTTTGTGTTATTCCTGCAGTCACCGAACAAGCCCACAATTCCCCAGGAGAAAATCCGGCCCTTGACCAGTCTGGACCATCCTCAGAGTCCTTTCTATGATCCAGAGGGCGGGTCCATCATTCAAGTAGCCAGAGTTGTCATTGAGAGAATTGCTCGGAAGGTATTGGGTTCGAGTCCACTAGGAGGGTCAAGAAGACTGTATATTTTTCTGCTCTAGAATCATGGGGGCACAGGCAGAAAGCCCCTAGATATATGGGATTCCTAGGTCTCCCAGGGTTTCTAGTATGCAAATTATCTCCTAAGAATATAAATGACCAAAAGGAACTCAATAGTGAGACCCAGTGCTCAAATGAATGATTTGATCCAGGCAGATAGGTTTCATTGTGAGTTCCAGTCATTAGTAATGTCTGCCACTTTCAGGGTCCCTGCCTAGCCAACCTTGCTTTATTGAACTTCTTTTCCAGTCAGGTTGTAAATTTTGGTCAAGAACTGTCATGACATAGGATTGGCATAGGATTTGTAGAGTGGGCATTTGATTTTATGTCCTTCTTCATCTTTCTCCTGCACAGTCCTTGCTTTCTCTAGTGTGAGCCCTCCAAGTAAAATTCCTTTTGCAGGGGGAGCAATGCAATATTGTGCCTGACAATGTCGATGACATTGTAGCTGACCTGGCTCCAGAAGAGAAAGATGAAGGTACGTTGTTCTCCTTTGTTGCAGGTGGCAACGTAAATTGACGTGGTCCTTTGGGAAGGCAACCTACAAATGTGTTTTAAGAACCGTAAATATAGTCATATCTTTTGACTTGGTAATCCCATCTCTGAGGATTTCCTAAGAAATAATCAGGAGATGAGGGGAAGAGATAAGTCAGTTAGTTAGGCACCAAGTATAAGGTAACTGATGAAGGTGTGACATTGAATACATGTTTAACAGTATCAGTCTTTTAAAATGAGGCATTTTGATAGAATTCTGAATACTGCAAAGCCTATCTGCTTTTATTCTCACATTGCCCTGTGAGGCAGGCACAGGTACACCCACTTCCTCAGCAAGGACAGAGTCCCAGAACCTACAGTCAGTAGGGAGAGGTAGAGCCATGGTTTGAACTTGTTTCCTTGTGGGAACAAGAGCCAGACAGTATAGACTCTGATTATCCCTGTGACCTTGAGCAAGAAGCTAACCTTTCTACTTCATTTCCCATAACTGTAAAATGAGCATAACAGAATTTGCGTCAGAGAGAGTTGTGAGGATCAGTGGTGAAAACACATATGGTTCTTGGGCTGGAACATGGCTCAAGTGGTATAGTTCTTGCCTACCAAGCACAGGCCCCTGAGTTCAAACCCCAGTACCCCACACCCACACCCACACACACACAAAATAATGTTCTTAAAATGCTAGCATATGTGATACTGAACAGTTAATAAGTGCTCCATGAGCATCCACCATCCTTACTCTTACGACACTTGTACAGCAGGCCATTGGGAAGATGAAGCTGCAACACAAAAAAGCCTTGTGCTTTCTAAGATTGCCTAGGAAATACCTGCAAATGTATGGAAACAATGTCTGTCAAGGTGAGGGACTGATATCGAAAAGATGTTCATGCATTGAGAGGAAGGGATACTAAAAGATTGTTCCTACTTAGATATCTACTGGCAGGATGTTGAAAGGCTGGTCTAGCAGCAGGGCTTGGCTTTTCTTGTCCCTAAATGAGCCTATCTGGGGAGAGGGCCAGTCATGGCTCCCAGGGAAAACATGTCAAACCCTCTTTGCAGACGACACCCCTGAAACCTGCATCTACTCCAACTGGTCCCCATGGTCCGCCTGCAGCTCTTCCACCTGTGACAAAGGCAAGAGGATGCGGCAACGCATGCTGAAGGCACAGCTGGACTTGAGTGTCCCCTGCCCTGACACCCAGGACTTCCAGCCCTGCATGGGTCCAGGCTGCAGTGATGAAGGTAAGGAGACAACCCACACCAGCTGGCAGAAACTCAGGAAAGGTGTGCCTAGCCATATGGACCCCTCACATCCAGGCAGTTGGTGTCCTTGGAAAGGACAGTAGGACCCTGACTGAAGCTGTCAGTGAGGTCCTACTAGAGTAGACCCCTTCTACAATATCTTGAAGCCTCTGAACACAGAACATGTCCTGTGACATCAGGAAAAAAAAATGTTTTTTGATGGTACTTGGGGTTGAACTCAGAGCTCTGGGCGTGCTAGGCAGGCACTCTCCCATTTAAGCCATACCTCCAGCCCTTTTTGCTCTGGTTATTTTGGAGAAAGGATCTTGCTTTGGCCAAAACTGGCCTCAACCATCATCCTCCTATTTTAAGCTTCTGTCTATGGATGACAGGTGTGTATCACTACACCCAGCTTTTTTCTGTTGAGATGGGGTTTCACATACTTTTGCCCAGGCTGGCCTAGAACTGTGATTACCCTCGATCTTGGCCTCCCACATAGCTTGCGATGACAGGCATACACCACCTTGCCCAACCATTGGTTGATATAGGGTCTTTTGAATTCCCTGACTGAGCTGACCTTGAGCAGCCTCCCAAGAAGCTGTCTCACAGGCATGAGCCACCAGTGCCCAGCTGACATCAGAAGAATTCTTGAGATTGACCTCTTCCCTCCTCAGCCATGGAATAAAATAGACACATGACTGTAGTCAACAAACATAGCTATGTCTTAAGACAAATTAATAAATAACAAGTAGCCTACTTCTGGGACTTAATTCCAACCACTTTTTAAGCAGCCCATGAAACAGACTAGATTGGCCAAGAATGAATCTAGGTTCCACTTTAGACTGAGTTGGAGTGCTTGCTTCAGGTCAGAACCTTTGAGCCAGTTGCAGAAATTTTCCATCTCTCTATCTGCGAGTGATCAAAGGTCAGGCTTGATCTATGAGCTTGCAATGCCTACATTATGACGCCTCAGCCTTTGAGATTGCTTAAAGCTGATTGCTGCACAAAGGTCAGCTGTCTGCTTCCTAGGACATGGCTCCTTTCTATGCCTGGACAGGTCTATCCTCTTGCTCTGCTCTTAGTCTCTTGGAGGTGAGGCCATGGGAGGGATGCACAGTCTAGACTAGTGCATGGCAAAAACAAAACCATTTCCAAGTTGAGGATAACTGAAGAAAACTTACCCCACTGGAGGTCATTCCCAAAGGCTGAACTGCTTCAACGAGGTTACACTCCCTTGTTTATTGTTTTTTTGCCCAAAAAGGGCACCTCGGAGGGGAACAAACCCTGCCATAGACACACCATTCCTAAGAACAGTCAGGAAACAAACCCTGCCATAGACACACCATTCCTAAGAACAGTCGAGAAACAAGTATGACAGACTAGTGAAGGCTGAAAGCCCGCTCTCGGGGCTGAAGAACTAAGGTCTGCAGTGGAACTTAGGCCTTTACCCTCTTCCTCCACAGGGAAGAGGCCACCATACTAGCACAAATGATCCCAGGAGCTAATGGCATTTCTAAACCACACTGGGCTGTGCCTGTTCTTTGGGGTACATGCTCCCTACAAGACATCCCTTCCAGAGTCAGATAGAGTTCTCTTGTTCCCTGCCACCACCACCAAGTTCCCTTCTGCAATGAATTACGTGAAGGGAGTGGCTGGAATAGGAAGGAAGCAGATACCCCTGTGGCTATTCGGAAGGAACTGGATTTATGAGATGAGTATACTTCATTGTATTGTAGCGACTTCGTCTTAAGTTTCCTCCAAATGATCTAGGTCAAGCCTTTTAGCACAAGCCTTGACATTTTTCCCCACTTCAGTGCACCCGTGAAGGGATCTTTTGGAAACAAAGGTCTGATCGTGTGAGTCCCCAGCTGAAAAGCTTGGGGCTCCCTAATGGTCATGTGCAAATCCTCAGCTTAATTTACTGGTGAAACAGTACTACAGAGAACCAGTGTGGAGGCCTGGTGAAAATGAGCAGCCTTGCCACAATTAACATCACACTGCAATACTAAGAGATGTAATGTCAGTGAAGTCACCTGAGGACTCCATTTGGGGGAGGGAGGGACTAGAAGGATGGGCCTCTTGAGCCTGAGCACTTCTCAGAGAAGATACACTCAAGTTGGTAGGGTCCATGTTCAGCCTGACCAAGGTAATGTCTTGCCAGACCACAGGAAACCTGAATTATGATTTGTCAAGTCCCATACCCCAACCATATCACACTGGAACATAATTATCGTATTTGATAGTACCTGCTGCCTTTAGTTAGCCTGGTGCCTAGCTCAAACATGTGGATTCTAGCTGTGATTCCTTAACTATCACCACTGTGTATTTTCACTGTCCATAGGTTACACAACAATGTCTGGGCATCACACACAGGCTGGTTGGGACTCTTTCTGGCTTCCTCTCCCAATACCACACACACAAACACTCTAGATGGGTGTTTACACAAACTAGTCTATTCACCTTAAATGCAAATATCCTTTACTCAACAAAAGCACATTCACATATACCCCCTTCTATGAAATTTTACCCAGAACTCCAAGAGGGAACAAACTTTTCCCTTCTCTGTGCTGCCCGATACCCTTGGCTTATCTCTCATCCTATTTTCAATACTTCGAATTGTTGTTTCTTTTCTCTCTCTGTCTCTCTCTCTCACACACACACACACAGAGCTAGATCCATACCTTACTTAGCTTTGTTATCTCAGAACACATTTGTAAGAATTCAGTAAATCTTAATGAATAAATAGATGGATTAACTACATTCTCTTTTTTTAGAAACACACACACACACACACACACACACCCACCCCTTACCTGCTACAGCACCTTGCTATAACGTTGGGAACAGGATCACCAAGTCATGCTGCAAGGTTCAGTTTTTCCACGAACAACCTCCAGGTGTCTCCTACATGACCGTGGCTGTTGCTAACACCCACAGATGGGAGCAAAGCTGTATCTGACCTAAGATGCCAACACAGAAAGCTGCTTGTGTTGCCTTCCTCATCTGTCCCTCTCTCAGGGCACACACAGACATTTGCCACCACCACCCCTCGCCCCCCATCAGCAGCTGTAGTATTGTCTGTTACCATCCTCAGTGGAGACACTGAGAATTGTAGGCCCATTGGTACAGTCTGCTCTTTGGATACAGGTCAGTCCTGTGTCCCAAAGCCCATCACGTACTATCCTCAGGAACAAAATTCTCTCATGTACTTTTCTTCAGTGGGAAAACCTACAGCTTTAGACAATGATACAGGTTCCTATGAACAAGTGAGCCTATACCATACCACAGAATATATATGATTTAATACATCTAATACATACATACGTGTATGTATATATTCTCTCAGTGCTGTCCTGAAGAATCTTCTGCAGTGACACAAATGTTCTGTATGGTACATTTTAGACCACAGAAATGGGTGATTTAAATTGTATTGACTCTATATTTCTGTGTGTGTATGTTTTATAAAACATCTACCCATTTAAACATCTTTTAAATGTATTTTCATGGGATGAAGAGTAATCCTGAGTACTCCTTCCCTCTGGAAAGGGACATTTCCTCTTAAGAGAACAGTTCCTGGTGCACAGATTTAAATTCTCAACCGCCTAATTCCCTTGAATGCTGCCTGGTTCCTTTCTCGAGTCCTGCAGGTGGGAAGTTCCCTTGGTGTGTCCAGCTGGCACCCACTCAGCCCACCACTGAGCACCAGCTGGGTGTATTGCAGATGGCTCCACCTGCACCATGTCCGAGTGGATCACCTGGTCACCCTGCAGCATCTCCTGTGGCTTGGGCATGCGGTCCCGGGAGAGGTATGTGAAACAGTTCCCGGAGGATGGCTCTGTGTGCACACTGCCCACTGAGGAGACTGAGAAGTGCACCGTCAACGAGGAGTGCTGTGAGTGGGGGTGCCAGGTGGGCGGGGAGGGCGGATCCCAAGGCCAGCCATGCAACTTCAACTCCGTGGGGCTCCCCAGCTCCCAGCAGCTGCCTGATGACGGAGTGGGGAGAGTGGGATGAGTGCAGCGCCACTTGCGGGATGGGCATGAAGAAGCGGCACCGCATGGTCAAGATGAGCCCAGCAGACGGCTCCATGTGCAAGGCTGAGCCATCCCAAGCAGAGAAGTGCATGATGCCTGAGTGCCGTGAGTGGGTGTGGGGGAAGGCTTTGGGCAGGGGACCTGGGAAAGGCGTGGAAAACCACAAGATGGCACCCCCTCCTGCCACCACCACCACAAGGCCAGAAGCTGAGCAAGGGCAGGGGGAGAGCACGGCCCACAGTCTTTACAAGGTGCTGCCAGGAGCAGGATGAGAGCCAGTGGCTTGTGGACATCAACCACATCCAGATGGACTGGCCTCCTTTAGTGGTATTCTAAGCAATTCTGGAGTGGAAAACAGGTGACCTCCAACAGAATTCACCGAGAGCTGAGTGTCATAGAAGTATCTTTCCTGGGGCAGTGGGGAGGACCACTTAACCAGGTCCAGTCCATTCCTGTTTCACATTGAACTTGTCAGGCCTCGTAAAGCATAACCACTCCCCCTCTATGCACAAATGCATATAGACCCACAAGTACGCAAATCAATACCCATTCTACAGGTTTCAAAGTCTCCAAAAACACAGCACTGAGCCTGTCCTCTGGTGCACAATTCTTGGGGAATGTGGGACCTGCTGTCTTTTACTGTTTCAAGTGGAACTTATGCTAAGATCACTGACCTCATCTGATGTCAGGTCATGACAAGAGATGCAAAAAAGTAGGCTGGGAGCCACTTCTTGGCCTAGAAAATTCTCTCATTTGAACCCATGGGCCAATTCCACTTTACTCCAGGAGCCAGAGCAAACTGCTGGAGTGGGGGCCGTGTGGGGCCAAGATCAAAGAACAGAAAAAGAGCCTGTTCTCAGTGGCAAACCTGATCTTGACCTAGACACCATCCCATGCTTGCTGTCTCCATGGTCTGAGTGGAGCGACTGCAGTGTGACCTGTGGGAAGGGCATGCGGACTCGCCAGCGGATGCTCAAGTCTCTGGCAGAACTTGGAGACTGTAATGAGGAACTGGAGCAGGTGGAGAAGTGCATGCTGCCAGAGTGCCGTAAGTCCAGGATCCTGGAAGCCTACTCCTTCTCTTTCCTCCTAAGTTCCTGGGTCCAGAGAGCCCCCAAACAGCCCCATGCTGTAATAATACTGCTAGATCCTGTAGTGAAACTGTTTGCTGGGGAGAATGAGCTGTTTCCTGTGTTTGGGTCTGGGTAGGCATAGTTTTATTTAAACTCTTCAATCTTATTACCATCTGCAAAATCACAAACTGGAAGTGGTTATGAAGTCTGCATGGGAAACATATATGAAACACATTTAGCACAAGTCAATCACCCTATTCCTTCCCTGCCCCAATTATGGGCTTGGCTGACCTGTGGATTTTCAATTCTCTTTCTCCTGTGACCATTTTATTTATCCTTGACCAGAAGCTGTGTATTAAATCAATGACCCCTGCATCCTGGTAAGACAGCAAGAAAACAAACCAAGTTCTCAAAAGCTTGCTGCCCACTCCCCTCTCCTCCAAAATCCCTGCTGATCCACAGTTTTGATGACATGGGGGCTCTCCAAGCAAAGTGCCAATTTTTCTAGCCAGTCTTCCAAAAGAGCTGTTTAAGTGGCCCAGTCACTGTGATTTATTTTCTAGCTTTTTCTAGTCCTTTAATCTCCCTCCCCTTGTTAGTACCCAGGCTGCCTGGCTTGTTAAGATCTTAGTTCTATCCCTTAATGGCTGCATAACCTTCAGCAGACTGTTTGTCATCTCTGTTCCTCGGTTTCCTCACCTATAAAACAGGAGACACTTCACAGGTCTCTGAGGATTAAATCCAGTAATTAGCATGAAGGATGAGCACTAGACCTGGCCTCAATCGATCTTTGACAGCTCCTAAGCTGTTTTAGGTAGACTTGGTCACATGTGCAGATAGCCTACACCATCAACTAAATAAAGCCTGGTGCTTTTAATAACTACAGTTGGCCCACAGTTAACTCAACTCACCAGATTAGGGTCACAGAGGCTTCCAATGGGAGAGTTATCAGAAGTCTTTGATAAAGGAAGGGAGGAAGAAATGAACAGTCATGGGGCATTTTCTGGGCTGGGCATTAGATAATTTAATCATCACAACCTAATGAGAAAAATACCATTATCCTCATTTTTGCAGTTAAGCTGCCTGAGCTCCCACAAGGGAAGAAGGCCTGAAACTATTGTACAAAATTATTTCCTAGATCCAGCCTGGCCCTGGCTTTTATGGATAGTTTGGAGTCATATGTCTCCTAAAACACATCCTGAGTGAGAATCAGATCAAAGTGTTAGTTCCCCCCTTCACAATTGTAAGGTGACAGCTTAGTAAAAATCTGCTGGACTTAGTATTAGAACAATCTATAAAATACCACTTCTCTAGACCCTCTTCTCAATTTCCCATTTCTGTCTGGGTCCACATATAGGACACAGGACAGTGCCAACAAGAAGAAAAGCTGCCTGAGTCTGAGAAAGTCATGATGCCTTTGATATTAGTCCATGGGGTCCAGACACCTGTTAGCCTGTTAGCTTGCTCTCTCCAAAGGTCAGGCAGCAGAAGGCTTGGTATCCTTGCTCTGCAAAACTACACTTTAGTGACTACGCCTTCCTGAGAAAATCCAGGTCCTTGGCCTGTGGGAAGTTGTCTTTGCCACTTGAAACTGATTTGACAATATTCTAAGAAATCACAGAGCAAGGCAAGAAGTCTGAATACACTTCAAAGTTCCTCAATGCCTCTTGAGTTAGAGAGAAGACATAGAATATGGGTCATGATCTGACACCAATCCTGCCTCTTCTGCTTACTGACCATGTGGGCTGGATGCCCTCATTCTGCCTCTTGGAACCTCAGGCTTTTTTCTGTAAAATGCATTCTAAAGATTTGAGAGGTTCAAAGGAGCAGAAGTGACCATGTCTTGTTTTAGAATGAGTAACACTCATGCTTATGTATTTTACCAGCCATTGACTGTGAACTTACGGAGTGGTCCCAGTGGTCGGAATGTAACAAGTCATGTGGGAAGGGCCACATGATTCGAACCCGGATGATCCAACTGGAACCTCAGTTTGGAGGTACACCCTGCCCAGAGACTGTGCAGCGAAAGAAGTGCCGAATCCGGAAATGCCTTCGAAATCCATCCATCCAGAAGCTGCGCTGGAGGGAGGCCAGAGAGAGCCGGCGGAGTGAGCAGCTGAGGGAAGAGTCTGATGGGGAGCAGTTCCCAGGTACAGCAACCAGTGTGGCCTTGCGCTAATCTCAAAACAAGGAGTGGAGGACAGGCTGCATTTCCTAGTCTTCAGACCACATTTTGATTCTTCAGATACAAGCTTCCCCCACCAAATATTATGAAAGTATAATTTATAAAGAATAGGTAGGAGGGTTTTTATTAAAGAAACTATAGATAACTACGTGCCAAAAATAAATTTCCAAGCAAAAAGCCTTTACAAACTAAAATCCCTTCACATCTATAAAACCAGAGGTTTTGTCTAACCTCACTCAAAATCAGTTACAACTTGCTCACAAATTCCTTGTGAAGAAGGGAAATGATGACATGGATTTGTCAGAAGAGTCTTATCATTTAGAGAATGTTCTTGAGGACCTCTTAGTACAAGTCACCCATTTTAAGGGTGTGGCTCAGTCAAGACAGCCCTGCCCTTTGCCTTCTTGGTTTATTTATTCAATGTTAACTACAACGTTTAACAACAGTATCCTATCTACCTTGAGTTTTATTTCTTCAATTATGGATCCAGGTTGCCATAAGTGATAAATACTCCAGTAAAATAAAAAACCCAAGTGTGCCATGGAATCAGCATTTTACTCAAGAGAAATACTAAAGCAGGGAAAATTAGACTGGGTCTTGAAGAACTTGTAGGAGCCTGCCAGTTAGAGAAGTACATTCCAGCCAACAGGAATAGGAATTGCCAAGGCACAGATACCAAACAGCACATGTCCAAGCAATAGATGGAGCAGAGTATAAAGAGGAAGTAAAAAGCCAGGTTGGAGACCAAATCATAGAAGGTCAATAGTCTGCTGAGGATCTGGGGCTTGATTCTGTAGGTGAAGGTCTTAAACAAGAGTGAACTTTAACAGACCAACTTTGGATAGAGGCAGGTTTTAAGGGTTTCTTTATAGCCCAAGGGAAGATTCTGTATCCCCAACACACACATTGGTTCCAAGGCAAGAGTACAATATCATCAGCAAAGTGAAGGGCCAGGGTTGAGTCTTGCACACAGGCCAGTAGATAATGTTTGGATTCCATGAAGGAAGTACAGCTCAAATTACACCTTTTCTTCTCTCTTCCTCATGATGTTATCTGTTGCATGTACTCAATTAACTAGTCCGTATCTGTTAAGGTCAACCATGTACCAGGCACAGTTTCTCTATGAAACTTAACTGTAGTATGGTAAAACAGATGTCTAATGCATATTCATAAATATGGGTTCAAAGAAAGAATACAGAGTGCTACAGAAGCACACAAACAAAATATGTAATCTTGGAGAATCAGGGACATTTTCTTTGAGAAAGGCATATTTAGGCTGAGTAGTAAAAACAAATCGTTCAGTACTTAGCCAGTGAGGCCATTGTTTAGTGCTCCCTGCAGTAGTTGCTGTAACAAAAGCCACCACAAAACAGTAGCTTTTTAAATAATCATTTCACATGGTCCTGTGGGTCAGTGAAAAGCTTCTTCTAAAGTCTAGCTCAGGCTAAATGTCATTCATGCAGCCACAACCAACTGGGGCCACTCTCCATTAACGTCTCTCTGGTGGACTGTCCAGACTTGTTCACACAATTGTATTAGGATTCCTAACAAACAGCTTTTCTCAGACTGTATTTTTGCTCACATCTCATGGCCAAAGCAAGCTAGGTTCAAGAGATGGAGAAAGGGACTCTGCCCTTTGATGAGAAAAGCCACTAAGTGTTATGGTCATTTTTTGCAATCTATCACATGAGCTAACAGTTCCTAATACAGACTCTAGAATTCAACAAATTATTACCTGTAAAACCAGAGGAGAAACCTAGACCACTAAGTGTGAGAGTTCTAGAGTTCAGCATTCCTATCCTGATGGCCTAACCAGTCATTCTCATGCTTTTAGGTTGTAGAATGCGCCCTTGGACAGCCTGGTCAGAATGCACCAAGTTGTGTGGAGGAGGGATTCAAGAACGCTACATGACTGTGAAGAAGAGGTTCAAAAGCTCCCAGTTTACTAGCTGCAAAGACAAGAAGGAGATCAGAGCATGCAATGTTCATCCTTGTTAGCGGGGGTTACAAGTTCCCCAGGGCTGCACTCCAGATTCCAGTCACAAATGGTTGGACTGTTTGCTTGTTTAAGACGATTTAAATTGTGTCCACTAGTTTTCATTTTGCAGTGTGGTTTGCCCAATAGTCTTGTGGATGCCAAGACCATCCTGTCTGAATACTTCGGGGTGGGTACAGGGTTCCCTAATGGGGCTCCCTCACCCTCACCCGGCCTTGTTCCTGCACAGAAGTGAATAGTCAGTCACCTTGTACTAAACTGAAGTATGTCCCTCTGGAGCATCTACCTGGCCAAGCAGGAAAAGACCCTGGCCTCCTCCACATGGAGAGGCCTCCTCCGTGTCTGGAAATGACTGTGTGTCTGGGTCCTAGGGTGCAGCATGTAGGAAACACACCCATGTGATACAGAGAGCAGATTCTCCTTTCTCATCTTCAGCCTGTTCTCTCTTGCAGAAAACTTCCGTTGGCCTCTCTTCACTTAGTGGGACTTTAGGTCTCTTGTCAAGTCTCCTCAGACACAAGTTCTTGGGGAAAACAGTCCACTTTGAAGAGGTACATCAATGCTAAGTGGCTTTTATTCTTACATGAAGAATACATTTATCTCATCTCCTAATATTTGTTCCTAATACCCCAAAGGAAGAAATGATAGCTACTTTATTCAAACGTAAAGGTGACTGTGTGTAAAAGTAGTTTTCCCTTGATTTTGTTTCTGTTGTTTTATTTTTTGGTTCCTAATTGTCCTTGGATGATAGGCTTATGAACCTTTTGGTAACAGACCCTTACTGGAACCAAGTCAACAAAACTGCCCTACCAGTTCCAAACCCGACATAAAATCTTCCTATACACAGACATTTAAGTTTTCAAATGCTTTTAACAAGAAAGTCTTCCCAGAGGCCTCCAAGCCATTCCCCAATAAAAATACTAGCTCTGTACTTAAAAGTAATTTTATATGTAGAGAAGGAAGTTGTTTGTTTCAAAAACCCAGAAGAAAAAGAACATTATGGAATCAGCCTTGTGCCAGCTGTTCACACCAGGGGTCTGGTCCTCATGGATATCTATAGGGAAGGCCCTTCCAAGCCATCATAAGCACACCAAATTTAGGACAACTACCAACAATTAGTGTAAAAGGACACTGTTCTCAGTTGTGAGACCAACAACAGGGTTTGCTCATGCATTTATTGTTAAAACTACTGTTTTATTTCTTTTGCAGCCTTTTTTATTTCTTATTACTGCTTAATCCAAATACGTACTATGGGCAAGATATATACAATGCTTAGACTATACTACTTTCAAGAGTTTGCATTAAACACAACAGGATTATTTCCAAACACAACACATATATGCTATGGCCCTGAATATGTATTTTCTTTAGCACAAGACTGTTCAATAAAAAAAAACTTACTGAGTCTGTCTTTCATGTTTTAAAACTAATTTTAAGTATTAAGATTGTTGGGTCTTTTTACAATTGTTATCCACCTCAATCACTTTCAGCAAAAGACAAGTCTTTTGCTCCCTCATTCTCGAGGGGACATTGTTACCAACATCTTTCAGCTACGGAGCTTAGAGTTGTTTCCAAAATATTTTTTTTTAATACTTCCACAAATTGCTTTTCCCTTCCAAAAAAGAATATAAGGAAACAGGAGGTTTAAATTTCTACTTGGGACCAAAGAAAAAAAGTTCTGCTATAGAATCTGCCCACTTTGCAACACTGTCCAAACTAGAAAATCAAAGCTACTTAACAGGATGATTCCCAAGTAACTCTAAAGACAAACCTCCCTAGCGTCTCATGTTCTTATTTGGTCCCAGCTGGGTATGTTTTTAGTACTGATTTGGGAGACTTAAGACTAGGTAACCGGTTAATGGCTGAGTGGGTGACATAGTTCTCCTGAGTGTTATTTTGTTTGCAAAGGGGAATTTATAAGAAGTGTCAATTCTTTCTTACCAAAGTCTTGTGTTAGGTGGTTCATAGATTTTCTGGCTAACCAATCGTTTTGGAAATAAAGACTTTTTACTACAAAAATGCAATCTGTTTGACTTCCACTTAAGATAGTGAAGATACTGTAAGAAAAACTGCCATATAAAGAACAGCTATAATTGTATTTTTTATTAATACCAAATCCATTATAATCTAATTTACACCCATATACTAAGGTAGTAAGACGTTCAGAGATACAGTTCCCAATCTGACACAGGTCACGTATCTGGCATCTTTAAAGCAGCAAATGAGAATAAAATCTGGGCTGTTTTAGACCCAGAACTGAAAAAGAAAAAAGAACTTTTTCCATTTTTCATTTGAAGTTTGGGTATGAGACATTTTAGGCATACTCAAAGCCTATGTACACCACCTGGGAAGTAAGGGTACATACACACTCTCACACAACTTCAGCTCTGCATAAACTTAGTCCACACGAGTCCATGACTAAAATATCAACACATTAAAGCATGTCCACATCCAGTCATCTCTATGACCTGTTTCTCTTAGTCTACATGTCTCAGACGGTAAGGAACAAAGATAAATTTTTGAGCTGGGTGTGATGGCCCATACCTATAATCCCAACAGTTGGGAAGCCAAAGCAGGGGGATTGCAAGTTCAAAGCCAGCTTGGGCTACATAGTGGGGAGTCATCATCTGCTGTGTCCCCTCACCCCATCTTTTGATGATACTAGAGCTTTTAGACAGGTACTCTGCCATTTGAGCCTTGCCCCAGCCCTTTTTACCTTTTATTATTTATCAGGAAGGATGTCACTTCTTGCCTGGGACGGTCTCAGACTGCAATCCTACTACAGCTTCCTGTGTAACTGGGACTTCAGGACATGAGCCACCACACCCAGCTTATAGATTGAGGTGCGGTCTGGCTAACTTTTTGCACAGACTGGCATCAAACCATGAGCCTCCCAATCTCCACCTCCCAGGTAGTTGAGGTTACAGGTAAGAGTCATCCCCCAGCCTTTTTTTTTTTAAAGCTAAAAGAACTGCAGAAAGACCTCTCCAGATCATTTAATAACAGAATCTGACACAGAGTAAGAAAGCCCAGCTTTGGGAATTGTGTTACAGAAGAGTTCAGCTACAAAGGAGTTAAAGACTTAACTAAGAGTGTTTAATCACTAACTATAATACAAAATCAGGGAAGATAGCAATTTCCACTATTTTGCTATTTGGTGCTTTTAATTTTAAGAGACTGATTCATTTTGTTCTTCATATTGCCCAAATTAGGCATAATGAATGAAAATAAATCCCTTTTGAAAATGACTGAGATGCAGTAACAAATTATAAATAGCAGCTGAATGCTAATTAGCATGAAGCTAATTCTTCTATTTAAATCCTTTGAAAACTGAAAGCAAATGATCTATACTAAAATGTCACATTTAAATAATGGCACCCGAGGGTTCAGAGACATACACTTTATAGGGTGGAGAGACAGAGACTGTAATGGTAAGCCTGGAGAGCCTAGGTTCTAACCACTGTTGCACCTGTGAGTAGCTATGAAAGCTGGGGCCATTTTACCTTTTCTGGCCTCAGGATTGACACAAGCTTTCTCACACTAAAGGACTTCTCTACCACAGATTCACAATTTAGCCAGTCCTCACCTTGAGAGCCAGTCCTCATGGTATCCTGCCATAGGACTCACTGAAAGCCAGGCCCATTCTACCATCCCTCACTTCTTCATATGAAATGTCCAGTAAATGCCCACTTTGTGTTGTAGCACGTTTGGCTTGCATTTTGATCGCTTATTACTGAAAATATCATAAAATATGCATTCATAATTTTTTATAGTTATGATCAGACTTTTCACTTAACATTCATAATGTCTTAACGTAAGACAGCATTCATTAACATGTACTTACACTGCTCTAAATATTCCCATCTTTTAGCATACTGATTGATAATAGTTCTTATATTTTAAGCAGTTATATGCTTAAACAATTTTCCTTTACTTCAACTAACTTTTACGTATTAACTGAAGAGAAAAAGAGAAATATCTTCAAGACTACAGACTCCTTTACACTTGGAATTTATAAGAGTCTCTGTTTTTTTCTCATGTTGGAATACAACTCCTACTGAGTAATATGAACCTGAAATGACTAGCCTACCCAGAAGTCAGAAGGGCCACCTGTGAAATACACCTGAATATTGTACTCCCTTCCGACAACACTAGTGCTACTCCAAGCAGACGTGCAGCCTGTTAACATTCACAAAGGAGATGCAGCAACAGAGAACAAGTACTTAGAACCTCTTATAGTGATTTGACATTGCCAGGATACCCAAGAGAATTATTTTTCTAGTTAATTCACTTTTCATTACACTTAACAAATATATTAGTCCACAACACTGGAGATAAAAATGTTTTTAAGCTGAGCCTTTAATACAGATAATCTGAGAAGCAGTGTGATACACTATTCTTACAAAGGAATGCCAGCGTAAAAACCCTACGGGATTTTTGGTTTTTGTTTCTTCAAACAGGGTCTCACTATGTAGCTCAGGTTGGCCTTAAATTTGTGATCCTCCCTAACCCAGCCTCACAAGCACTAGGATTACAGGTGTGTGCCGTCATGCCCTGCCAAACCCTAGGCTTTCAAATCTCTCAGATGCTTACTTAGGTATCCAGGACAGTAACACTTAGTTCCAATGATTAAGTACCTTGCACTGGCCTCTTAATAGCCTACCCCAGTCAACCCCTCCATCCCCAACTTCTTTGACATACAGGTTCCTGGCTTTTTCCAATTTCTGGCTGCTTTTCTTTACTGTCCACTGGCTCTTAATATTCGACTCTCCAAATGTTTGTTTTCCCAGAAAGTTTTACCCTTGCACCTTCTCTCTAACACTCTTTCTAGTGGATATTACCTCTGCTTTTTTTTTTTTGCAGTACTGGAGCTTGAACTCAGGGCTTTCACCTTGAGCCACTCACCAGCCCTTTTTGTGATGAGTATTTTCAAGATAGGGTCTCTCGAACTATTTTCCCGGGCTGGCTTTGAACCACGATCTCATCTCTGCCTCCTGAGTAGCTAGGATTACAGGCGTGAGCCAATAGCACCAGACATTGTCCCACTTCTCTCTCTTCAATCACTTCAAAATGGATAAATTACAAATCTGTTTATGTAGTCCCAGCTTCTCCTTTTGAGCTCCAATCTCCATTCCCAAATTCCTCCTGACTAAATCTAAAACTGTCACAAACACCATATAGTTCTATCCCTAGAAAGTTGCCTGTGCTCTTTATTTCCATTAATAGTACATCACTTTTCTGCACACCCAAGCTCAATATTTTGGACTCTCAAACACTTCTCAGATACACCTCTAATGTTCAGTCCCTTTTTCCCCACGTTAACTGCAGTTCATCTTTCTCTGAAATTACTCATTCACCTAATGGTATTTCTGTACACATCAGACAAAAGGACATGGCTCTGCCTTCAGAGAGTTTATGACAGTAACAGGACAGATTTTGTTACTGAAACAGCGTTTTAACTGACTGTCTCCTTAAATCTACACCTCTCTGCCATTCATACTACCTGTAGAATAGATCCAGGCATCTCCCGTTTAGAATTCCTGGCTTTTCCCATTATATACAGAAGGGTTATCCTGTTTGAAGGCCCCAACAATCCAATCCCAGTCTACCTGGTCTTATCTGTCCCATTGTACTCAGAATCTTTTTAGAATACAACCTGCATGCTGCCAACACTGTGCCTTGGGCTTTTGCCAAGGCACATTCTTCCCTCCTCCCTGCCTCAAATCC